GTATTGATTTCCTTCGTTTACAATTGGAAATAATTCCCACCGCTCCAGTGGAAAACTGTTGCCTTTTCCTTGAGATATATATTTCCTGCTCTTTGTGTTTACATTTTCCAAATGGTCTTGTGTCCTCTTTCAGTATCTGATGGTTCTTCTGTTGTTCTTCATTTGCATGGCTCCCTGTATGTGGGGATATCCTCAACGATTGCTTCAAGCTATTCCTTTTAGAGGTCTGTCCTTCAACTCTGTACCTGCTATATACCTTAGTGTTTGTGAACTTTTTAGTATCACCAAAATCTGTTCAATGCTGCTCTTCTTTGTCTGAAAAGGATTGGATCACTGATTGTGTTAATGAGGTGTTAATCTCTACTTTTTTATTCTTTCCAACCAATTCAGCTTTCAATAGTGTTGCTTGCCTAAGTTGCTTGTCCATCACTGAAAAACTGGACAGCCTACTATCATATTCTGCTCCTATGCTTGTGCGTATCCTTGGTTTCCTTCCAGTGGAATGAGTGCTTAGCACTAATACCACCAACTGGAATTCCACCAAAGAATAGGGCTTAGGCAGAGTAACATTTCCTGCAAAAAAGAAAACAATGTTAGAAATCAAGGACCTCACCATATTCTCCTCCAAAAGGATTCGAATATGGTGAACATATGGCTCAACTCCTGCCCTCACCCTCTTCTCCTCTACCATATCTACCTCCTTGCTACCTTCACCCTTATGTATGGACATTATAGTTTATCACTGTTCACTAATCTCCTGGCGTGTGAATCCAGATCCTGAAATCCAAAGCATTCTAATGGACCATGATCCAGTGCATAATTTGCAATGTAGTCTGCTAGGCTGTTCTCTTCCCTAAGTATGTGCGCTACTGTTATATTACACCCTGTCATCATCTGCTTGATCTCCTCAACAATCTCACTGATATTCCATGGTATTTTCTATACTCCTACTATTACATTTTTCAGCATCATTGAATCAGTGTTCAACTCAATTAACACATAGCCATTCCCAACACAGTACTTCAGTGCTTCAAGGATTGCTCTTGCTTCTGCAACAGAATTAGATCCCTCCTGAATCTCCTTACCACAAGCATACACTACATCCCCTTCCCCATTTCTCAAAACAAAGCCTACTGAACTCCTACCAGGGTTACCCCTCGAAGCCCCATCAGTGTTCACCTTAATCCAACCTTGACTGGGTAGCTCCCACAACACCTATGTATAGTTCAACTTGGGTGTATATTATTCTAACACCTTAATCATATCTGGCCATTTGTGAGGAAAATTTTGGATCCCTGGTTTCCTGAGCTTGACAAGATGATGCATAGTAGTAGATATTTGATAAATAACCCTGCTGACTGTGACAACATCACCATATTTGTAGTTATTCCTCCTCTTCCACAACTGCCATATTATGACTGAAGGTAGTGCTTGCATAATAGGCTTCATTCTCTGAACAACATCAACAGTCCAACATTTTGTAATGCCTTGATGCAAAGTGATCCCCTCGACTGTGATTCCTGCATGTCCAAGGAAGTATTTCCATACAGTATTAGCAGCAGGTGAGGTAAAAAACAGATGTTGCAGTGTTTCTTCCTTAGGTTCTATACAACACCAACACTTAGAGGCCATTTGATAACCCCACCTTCTATAGCAATCATCTAAAGCAAGCTTGTTCCTCCAAACCTTCCACACGAAGAATGAAATCTTGAAAGGAACTCCTCTCACCCATATATTCCTGTAAGCATTTCTAGGCTCCTATCTCCTCCTCAAATACTCCCAGGCAGACTTGACACTAAACTCCCCCCTTGTCTCAAGCATCCAAACAAGCTTGTCAATCATATCATTCCTAGCTGGAGGTTGAATGTTCTCCAATATATGAGTTGCAAGGTCTTCTGGAAGAATCCCTCTTATTCTTTCTTCATTCCACTGTCCCTCAATGACCACATCATATATGTTCTGCACTTCTTCATCTCCCATAAAATCTGGAGGGGTAACAAAATATAGTGCACCTATCCCCGTCCAGTTTTCATACCAAAATAGGGATGATCCCATCTTGAGTTGCCATAAAATCTGATTCTTTATGATATCCCTACACTCTAGCATTTTTCTCCACACATGGGATCCACCCCTCCAAGGAACTATGATAGGATTGAGTTTCTTGCAGTATTTCTGGCACATGAAAGAGCTCCACAGAGTTGGTTTTGTTCTGAAATTCCACCAAAGCTTACAGAACAAAGCAGTAGCCATATCATGTAGTGATCTGAAGCCCACACCTCCCTTTTCACATGGCAAGCATAAGTTGTTCCAAGATGCCCAGTGTCTATTTGATGTGCCCACTGAATCACTCCAAAAGAATTGAGCAAAGATCTTGTGAAGTCTGTTAATCACATAATCTGGAGGATTGACTGCTGAAAGTAAATGAATTGGCATGCTCTGTAGAACATGAGAAATAAGCACTGCCCTTCCTCCAATGGATAGTAGCTTCCCCTTCCAACTCTGCAACTTGTCCATTACCTTTGTTATGAGATCCTTATAGTAATCCATTTTCCTTCTAAGATAGAATACTGGACATCCAAGGTAAGTAAATGGAAACTCCTACTTTGGAATACCTGTAATCCTCTGAACCTTATCAATCACTTGAGTACTGGTAGAATGATGCATATAGACTGCAGATTTACTCTTGTTTATCAATTGCCCAGACGCAGCTTCATATGATGACAAGATTTGCATTATGAGTTGTAAAGATGTGGCATCTGATGATGAGAAGATAATTGTATCATCAGCATATGCTAGATGATTTATCTTGGGACTCCATTTGGGCAGTCCAAATCCACAGAAATACATGTTATTATGTAAAGAGTTCAGCCCTCGAGATAATGCTTCTGCCGCCAGAATAAAAAGTGCAGGTGAAAGTGGGTCACCTTGCTTCACACCTCTAGTTGATCTAAAGAAGCCATGAGGTTGTCCATTTAACAAGATAGAGTACCAGTTATTGGAAACAATCCCAAACACCAGTCCTATAAATCTTTCTCCAAATCTCATCTTCCTTAACACCTTTGACAAGAACAACCAGGATAATCGATCGTATGCTTTTGCCATATCCAATTTGATCACTACATTTGGACCTGCCTTTGTTCTTAGTCTAATATTTGTAACTATTTCCTGTGTTAATAACACATTCTCCACTATGCTCCTCCCTTTCACAAAGCCTGCCTGTTCATCAGATATTAAACTAGGCAGCAAGCTTACCAGCCTTTCATGAACAACTCTTGAAAAGATTTTGTTTACAAAGTTACTGAGACTAATAGGTCGCATATCTGAAAAGGTCACAACTTCTTTCTTTTTTGGAAGCAAAACCAAATTTGTATGAGTTACAAATCTTGGCAATTCATGTCCATTGAAAAAAGCTTGCACCATATCTACTATATCATCGCCTATTATGTCCCAGCATGAGTGAAAAAATGTACCATTAAAACCATCCGGACCTCCAGCACTTTCTCCATTGAGCCCATAAACTGCACTTTTGATCTCTTTCTTGGTTGGCTGCTGCACTAATTCAATGTTTTTACCACTGTCCACTATTATAGGGATATGTTGCAAAATGTCAAATGAGCTAGGGACTGATTCTTCATGGAATTGTGCTTGATAGAACCTTACTGCTTCCTCTGCCATGTCTGCCTCCTCTTCCAACCAGATTCCTGCTTCATTCTGTATTCTTTTCAATTGGAGTCTCTTCCTTCTACCATTTACTTGTGCGTGAAAAAACCTTGTGTTCCTGTCTCCATCTTGGAACCAAGCCATACCAGATTTTTGCTTCCAAAACTCCTCCTCAAGAGCCAAATATCTAATAAGTTCGGCTTGGACTTTCAGCAAATTTTCCCTATTTTGAGCTGTTGGATGCCCCTCGAACTCAGTTTCATGCACCATTACCACTTCCTCTAAACTTGCTATTTTCTGAAATATATCCCCATAGGTTGTCCTACTCCATGTTGATAACGCTTTTTTTAGTTTCTTCAACTTGTGATTAAACAGAATAAAAGGATCACCAGCAAAATTAACCCTCCAATTGTCCTTTACAACAGCCTTGAAGGTGGGATGTTTTGTCCAAAAATTGAGAAATCTGAATGCCTTTTTTACTGGTGCTGCATCTTCTCTACACTTCAATAATATAGGGTTATGATCAGACCCTATTTTAGATAAGTGGGTGATTTCAATAGCAGGAAACATCTGTTGAAATTCTGCATTAGCCAAGCACCTATCCAATCTCTTGAAAATACAATCATCTCCAGCCTGTCCATTCCACCAGGTATATATGCTGCCTTTGAAGCCTAGATTAGTGAGATTACATGTGTTAACGCAATGCCTAAAATCATTAACCTCATTCAGTGATACAGGCAATCCACCAAACTTCTCTTCCTCATCCCAAATAACATTGAAATCACCCCCCACAAGCCAAGGAAGTGACATATCTCTGGCCAAATAGTACATGCTATCCCATAATTCTCTACGCTCAATGAGATTACATTTAGCATACACAAAGGTTACTATGACTGACAGTTGGGTGTTCATATTGGTGATCTTCATTGTCATCTGTTGTTCCATGTTAATCATAACCTCTAATCCATGATCTTCATCTACAAACACCCATATTTTGTTTGATATGTTACCAAAAGCTTGTAACATTCCAATTTTCCTTCTGTACCATTCCAGCTTTCTTGCCTTCTGTTTTGGTTCCATAATTCCTATGAAATGAAAGTGATGCTGCATATTCATATTGATCAGTCTTTCAAATGCTTTCTTTGTCTTGACTGATCTCACATTCCATATGATTGAATTCATGATTAATTGTGAGATTTAGATAGGGTCCTTCTTGTTTGGACCCCAGGAACTACACCTTGAAACTCTTTTGGGTTCTTCTTCTTTCCTCTCCCTGCTGATTTTCGTCTTTCCAGATGCCTGGGAGATAGATCACCCATCCTTGCCACATTCACAAAATATTATGTTGTTGATTCTTCATCAAAGTCTCTCCCTGCCTCTTCCATGTTGTCCTCCTCTCTAAGATCATCACCTTGTGCTGCCAGTTGTTGTATATTGATAGGAATCAATGCAGTAGCTGCTTTCTGTTTAATTAGCTGCTCTTTATTTGCATCGCCCTGTTTGTCTTTGACTCCCTCTGCACTTCTTCTCTGTTTATGATCTGTAGGCCTCTCAATTATTTCTTCATTGCTAGCCTTTGGTAATTGAGGATCACTGGATTCTACTCCCTTCTCTGTACCACCAGTAGGTTTTGCAGGGCCTATATTTGGATCAGCTGGAGGCAACTCCTTGCTAGGATTAGGACTCAATAGCTGCTTATTTCCTTCTTCTTCTGAGACCCTCTGCACTTCTGCAATTTGTACACTTTCTTTCACAGTGTTACTGCTTTCTAACCTTGTTTCCTGCCCTTTGCTTTTGTTATTTACACTTTGCTCTTCCTGATCATTCTCTTCATCTGCTGACTCCTCCTCCCCATTAGCACCATCTGGTACTTCTCCTTCTTCTGAATCCACTTCAGTTTGTTTATGCCACAGTTTGTTCCCATCTATTTGTAGTCATTCATCTCCCTCAACTATCCCATCTATTGCAGTATATTCCACTGACTGTGAGGGAACATCCTGATATGACTGATTTGTTACAGCATTATTAACAAATGTTCTACCAACCCATTAAGCAGTAGTCTCTTTAGGAACACCTTGATCAATTGTTACTCTATATCCTTTCCCAGCCTCCTTCGAATTTGGTGTGTTACCAACTTTAGAAGATGCAATCCCAGAATCAGTAGGTCTAAAAGCTAGAGCAACTGGATTTAATCTCCCAGCTTCATTAGATTTTTGAACAGGACTCTTTTGACTTGCATTCACCTCTACTATTGCCAACTGATTGTTCTCATTATTCCCATCATCAATTTCCTCCAATAATGCAAATTTGTTGGCTGTTTGAACCCTTTGATCTGCAGATTTTTCAACAGCAACCATCTCTCTCCAACTGGTACTAATTCTTTTCCAGTAATTTCATCTCCAGTAACTTGTGTTTTCTTCTGATTTGCCCCGTTTCTAACTCGATTATCCCTTACTTCTTTCCATTGTTCCTTCCCATTGCCTGCCAAATTGCCTACCACTTTCCCACTTGATAAGATCATTAGAGGCTGGTTATTACCCCTACTTTACTCAGTGTGATCTGCAGCCTGTTTTGCACTATTCTTGTCTTCAAACAATTCAGGATGTAATCTCCAACACTCCATCATGTCATGGCCTTGTAATTTACACTTTTTACAATATTTAGGCAGCATATCATATCTAATATTCACCCATTCAGTACGTACCTCTCCTGTTGCCTCATTTAGTATGTCCATCCTGACCTTCTTAGGTAAATCAGCAAGTAGATCAACTAAGACCTTAACCTTAGCACAATTAGGTCTTGTCTTATTGATAGTGGCCATATCCAATTGCAAAGGCTTCCCTACAGCTGAAGCTAGGGAAAACAAACATTCCTTAACGAAATATGTAGGCAACAGACCTGGAAAGGATATCCATGCCATAGCTTTTGGAGTTTCTTCTCCGGCTTTAAATTTTGCATCATAGATTAGCGGCCTTAACTGATACTCATATCCATCTCTATCCTTGATATAGTAAGCGCCCTTTGAATTAAAATTCAAGAAATCCTCCCACAAAGTCAGACGAATTAAAACATGCTTGTCCCTAAGATATCCAATACTGCATTCTCCTTTGATTCCACATTGCGTAGGGATCATATGTCGCAATTGCTGTAGATCAAGCCATCCATATGAGAGTTTTCCAACGACTGCATATTGAAGTCCCTCGATCACGTTCATCCTTTCCACTTCTTCTTCCGTAAACTGAACCATAGGCTGTCCATTAAATAGTGTAGCACGACGAAGGGGGATTGGATCAACTGCTGAAGCTTTCTCGTGCATGGCACTGTTCATCGTAGCAGGCTTCAAATTTTTTGAATAATCCAGCGGTGTTTGGTTGTTTTTTGGTATTGTAGATGGTTGTGTTATGTTGGGGGGTGGTTGGGGAGGCAGCCCTGCCACAATAGGTGGCAGGCCACCGGCCGGAGTGGCCATGGCGACTAGCAGCGCACTTACTCTCTCTAATCGCCCAGAATTTTGCCAGAGTCTCTCTCTCTACCATTATTCTATTGTTATCCTTATTTATTGTTAGGATTAGAATTTTAATGATGACTAAAAATAAAAAGACTTGACTAATGCGAATCTACTATGTGTGCAAATTTACTAATCAAAGTTATGGAGGCGTAAGAGGCGTAAGAAGCAATCAAAAAGCCAACGGCTATGATATTCAAATTTGTCCATCAAAGGAATACAAGAAAGGAAAGGGAATCAATCAAATGGGCAAACGACTTTCAAGGACACAAGGAAGGAAAGGAAATCAATCAACTATGAGAAATCAGCAGAAGGCTCAAGAGCAAATGATTGGGAAGATAAAGGAGCTAGTCTGCACATTAAGAATGAATCTGGTTGTACTTCACACACTGGATTCATGAGGCTACCCTTAGGTCCTACTCTCAGAGAATACTGCCTCAAAAGAGAAGTTTTACTATCAATGATATTTCAAGATCTCAAAAAAAAAGGAATTAGGGACTTCATCGAGCACTATTAAAGAAGAGGAGAAAGGATGTGAAAGACTACGCAACTTTCATCCAAGTTGTCACGACCCCAAACCCGGTCGTGATGGCGCCCAACAATATTGCTAGGCAAGCCTGACCACAATCGTTCCCAAATCAACCGTAAACCTCAAACCGACAATCTAAAGAGATTATAATAGTCTTAGAATAATAATCCAATATTTAAGGAAGAATAATACTGAGAAAGATACGAAGTCTGATAAAAACACTCCCAAAAGATCTGGGGTCACGAGTCTAGAGCCTCTAAAACAATCTGAATAACAATATCTGAACGAAAATACTCATGTCTGGAAATGTATATATAAATAAAACTGAAATAGGAAGAGTAGCCAGGTCCTGTGAACGTCAAGCAGCTACCTCAACAACTCTGATAAGCTTTGGGAAACAAAGACTGCTCAGCTAAGCCTCCGGTGTACCTGAATCTGCACACAAGGTGCAGGGAAGTAGGGGTGAGTACTACCGACTCAGTGAGTAATAAGCATATAAAATGTCTGATGATAAGAAATCCACGAAATACCACAAAGCAAAGCTAACACTAATAGTCCTACACCTTACTATGAACCAACAGCAAAACAACTTCAAATATAACAGTCAAGTAAAATGTAATGATGCAATGCAATGCACATGAACACGCTGTGGCGTACAGCCCGATCCATTTAACGTCGACGGCGCTCACTGGGGGTGTGTACAGACTCCGGAGGGGCTCCTTCAGCCCAAGCGCAATATAATCATATCATTCGCTGCAGCGTGCAGCCCGATCCATACTCAGTCCACAATATGCATATGAGTCACGTAACAGATTCAATTAATTTTCCAATTTCCAATTTATTAAGAAGAATATACTTTAGATATTTAACTTCAGGAATAGTGACTTAGCGTTTCATAACAGTGATTAAACACAGGACTGAGATCAAGGATTATACATAGCATGCTATCACAATGACATTCATCCTCTAAGGATGCTACAGATCGGCACAAGGCCCCAAACACGGCAATAAGCCCAGATATAATCAATACAGGGTGCGTATCAGTCGCCAATATAGAAACATTCTTGTTCGGGATGGACTAAGTCTCAATCCCCAGTCATAACCAATCCCGCACCTTCCATGGGGTGCGAGTCACGCCCTACAATAGCGTCACAATGTGATAAGCCGGGGTTTCAAACCCTCAGGCCATCATATACACCAACTACTCACCTCTATCCGGCCGTAGAATGGTCCGCAATGCCTTTTCCTTTCGTATCGACCTCCTCGCGCGTCGAATCTAGTCAAAATCACAACGAATACATAAATATGGGTTAAAGAAACATAACCCAATAAAAAATACTCGAAAAGTACTAAAATTCACGAAGTTGGTAAAACCCGAGCCCCGGGCCTACTTCTCGAAAAATTCCGAAAATTACACCAACGGATTCCTCGTCTCGCCACGAGTCCGTGCATATAAAGTTTACCAAAATCGGAGCTCGTCTGACCCTCCAAATTTCATTTTTACATCACAGCTTTCCAAGCCCTAGCTTGACCCGGTTTTGATGAATTTTCTACAATTTACATGTAATTTCTACCATGAATTCGAATATTTAGGCCAAGGAACTTACCTCCAAGTGATTCTCAGTCAAAACCCTCGAATTTCCTTGTTCAAAGCTCTTAAGAACGTCAACAATGGAGGAAAAATATGAAAGGGTCGCGGATGAAATATTATTTTAAAACCCTTCTGTCGCCCAGCGATTTTCGCTTCTGCGGTCCCGCTTTCGCTTATGCGGGACCGCTTCTGCGGCCACATTTCCGCTTAAGCGGTTTTCACTTAGAAGCCCGGACTTCGCTTATGCGACGCGAAGTCCGCTTCTGCGGTCCCTTCAAAACCGCTTCTGCGGCACATTGTCCGCTTATGCGGACCCGCTGGTGCGAGCCACCTTCCGCATCTGCGGAATTTCCCTAGCCGGCCACGACCGCTTCTGCGACCACGCACCCGCTTCTGCAGTACCGCTTCTGTGGTCCATTTCCGCAGAAGCGGAAACACCAGATGACAGAAAAATCTAACCTGCAATTACACCTCAAAACTCTCGTTTAACCACCTGAATTCACCCCGAGGCCCTCGGGACCTCAACCAAATGCACAGATATGTTCTATTACTTCATTCAAACTTGCTCGTAACATAAAAACACTATCATAAACACCAAAATCATCAAATTACCACGGATTCAAGCCTAAGTTAAACTAAAACTTCTGAAACTTGCATTTGATCTAAAACCCCACCTAAACACCTCCGAATGATCTGAAACTTTGCACGCATATCAAAAATCACCTAACGGAGCTACTGAAACTCTCGGAATTCCATTCCGACCCTCGGATCAAAATCTCACCTACCATCCGGAATTCGCCAAATCCAACCTTAGCCAATTCAAGCCTAATTCTACACCGGACCTCCAAATTCAATTCCGATTGCGCTCCTAAGTCACAAATCATCCCCCAAAACTAGTCGAATCATCGGAAATCCATTCTGAGCCTCCTAACTCATAAGTCAACATTCGGTTGACTTTTCCAAACAATCCTTCTCATAAAGAGACTTATTGTCTCATTTCTAACCGAACTCTAACCGAATTACTTCAAATTCTCCAAACACATATAATGAAACATATAGAAGCATAAAACGGGGAAAACGGGGCGGTAACTCCCGTAACGACGGGTCGGGTCGATACATCCTCCCCAACTTAAACAAACGCTCGTCCTCGAGCGGGTCAAGAAACATACCTGGAGTCTCAAACAAGTGAGGATATCTGCTCCGCATCTCCTGCTCGGTCTCCCAAGTGGCTTCCTCCACGGGCCGACCTCTCCACTGTACCTTCACCGAAGCTATGTCCTTAGATCTCAACTTTCGAACCTGACGACCCAAAATNGTAAGAAAACCATTCTCACTGTAATTGCCACTGAAGATTTAAGAGAACCCTTGTAACCCAAGGGAACTGGATGCGAACTAGTATAAAAATCTATGTCTCTCCTATTCATTTTCATCACTTGCTTTTACTTTTATTTGATATACTAACTACTGTCTACAAAATCAGAATAGTCAACTACAAGCCAAAGTTAGTCGACTAGAAGAATTTTACAATTCACCTCCTCCCCTTTGTACTTTTAGTTAGTATCAGAGCAAGTCTCAGTAAATGTAGACCTGAAGGGTGCTGGAAGTTCAGGTGGAAAAAAGCCGTCTGCTGGAAGAGGAAGAGGAAGAGGAAGAGGAAGTTCTAATAGCAGGGAGAAAGGAGGCGCTGAATCTTCAGGCAAGAGAGGTGGCCAGGGTTCTGGAGCTACCAAGA